ACCCCTTCCCTGCCAGTCGATCACTGCCTACAACGATCAAATACAGATCACAGTATTATACTGTGATCTAATTTTTTTTTAACCCCTGAGGATTAACTTTTTTTTATTTTTTTAACCCTCAGGGGTTTAATTTATTTAATCAATTAATTTAAATATTTTATAACTATATATTTTGCTAGCTGGGGTGGGTGGGAGTTATGGGGAATTTACTGTTAGTGCTGCTTACTGCTAGTTAGGGGTTAACGGTAAAAAAAAAAGCTTAGAAAAATGTTCAATCTGTAAAAAAGTTTTAAGAAAGTTTAGGAAAGTTTAAAAAAAGTAATAAGCAAAACAAAATTTTAAAAACTAGTTTTTAAAAGTAAAAAAAGTTAAAAAAGTAAAAAAAATACATTTTAAAAACGCTCATTACCACTACACCTGGAACAAACTAGAGAAAAAATTATCCCATGCCAAGGTTCAAAATATGCCTTTTGAATTACCCCAGGGTGTATTCTTTAATAAATAGTATGTGTTTGTGGGGAAGTTTCAATAACCAACCGTCTAAACTGCTCCAAATTGGAACATGGACACAGCGTAAAACTTCAAAGTTAGAAAAAAACTGAATGGCTGCATCTCAAATGCGCCCTTTCAACATCCACGTATACCTGGCAAAGGTACATACGGCGGTATTGCTGTACTCAGCCGACATAGCTGAGCAACATATGAAGTATTATACAGTCATAGCACACATAAGGTTTGCAAAATATGCTGCGCAAACTCACTTTGTATGTCAAAAAGGCAGAAAAAATGCTTATTACCACTACACTTGGTACAAGCTAGCGGAAAAATGATCCCACGCTAAGGTTCAAAATATGCCTTTTGAAATACCCTGGGATGTCTTCTTTAAGAAATGGTATGGCTTTATGGGGTATTTGGATTATATAGCCTGGTAAAATACTCTAAAATGGGACATGGACACAGCGTAAAAATTTAAAGTTTGAAAAAAACTGGAATGGCGGTGTCCCAAATGTGCCCCTCCGATGTCCACATATACCTGGCAAAGGTACATACGGGGGTATTGCTGTACTCAGCTGACATAGCTGAGCAACAGTAATTTGGTACTTCTGCCCAGTGTGTGGATGCTGGAAGAATTTTCCAGGTATTATGTGGCTGCAGGTAACACAGCCCAGACAGCGATAGCAACCAAGGTTCTGCGCTGTTTGCTGTTTGGTATAGCAGTGTACTGGGTCCGTCTTTACAAGGAGGTCACGTACATTTTTCCCCGTTTATAGCACAACATGAGTGGATTCTGAAAGATTTTTTGTAGTGTTGGATCTTCTGATAGTAAACGCCAGTTGGAGTTCAAGGTGTTCTTGAGGCTGTGGGATGCAATATTCTAGGTGGTCGGAAAGACAAGTCATGGTGTATCATCTTTTTTCTCTCTCATAGGCTGTTGGCTCTTATCAAGTGCTTTCTGAAGAGTAGCGTCCTTGTAGCCTCTCTGTTTAAACCTATTCCATGTTTCTTTAGTTTGTAAGTGTGCTCTCATGGGTTCTGAGTTATTCCTTTTAATCCTTAGGAACTGGGAGAGTGGTAAGGATTCTTTCAAGTGTCGTGGGTGAAAGCTGTCAGTCTGGAGTAGGGTGTTACGATCCGTTGTCTTGGTGAATAAAGTATACCCAAGCTTCATCTCTTTTTTAAAGATCTGGACATCCAAAACAATCACTGCATCCTGGCTCACTGTCATCGTTAATTTGACCGGTGTGGGTGCCCTGTTGATGGCCTCTATCATCTCTGAAATGGACTGGTGATCTCCCTTCCATATAAGGAACATGTCATCAATGAAGCACCTATAGAATAAAATATTTGCTTCATACGGTTGTAGAATGTGGAGGGTCTCAAATATATACATAAAGCTGTTGGCATACATGGGTGCCATTGCTGCTCCCATGGAGGTCCCCGCTATTTGCTGGTACCAAGTTTCTTCAAATCTGAAGTAGTTAAGTGTAAGGACTGCCTCCAGGATTTCCATGACGTATTCAATCGGGGGGCCTGTGTATGTTGTTGAGTCTTGTAACACTTTGCGCATTGCTTCTATACCATCCAAATGAGGAATGATTGTGTAGAGACTTTTCACATCACACGTTACCAGCAGTGTAGTAGTGTTGGGTAAATTGATGGTGTCCAGAAGTTTCAGTAGGTCTGGGGTGTCTTTAATGCAGGTGGGAAGCTTGACAACTGTATCTTTAAATCGATAGTCCAGCCACTGATCCAGTGGTTCCAGTACTCCCCCTATGGCTGACACTATAGGTCTGCCTGGTGGATGATCAATGCTCTTGTGTACCTTGGGTAAGGTGTAAATAATCGGAGTCTTAGGTTCATTAACTCTTTTGTCACAAATTTAGCTTCAACTCCTCTTTGTACAATCGCCGAGAGTTGTTGTGTGATACATGCTGTAGGGTCGCCCTTAAGTTTGGTGTAGGTGTCTGTATCTTGAAGCTGGGATAGAAGTTCCACTCGATAGTCACAGTAGTTAAGAAGTACTATGCGCCTCCACCTTTGTCCGCCCGTAATGACTAAGTTCACATCGTTTGCTAGTGAGCGGATAAGTTCAAGGTCTTGCTTTATGTTGCTGAAATGACGTTGTTTGTTTTGCAAGATTATATCCATGTCTCGCTGCATATTATGCAGAAATGTCCTTGTATTAAATGTGTTTTTTAGATCTGAACCATGAGATATGCCCACCCTATTTGCTATAAGCATAGAGAGTTTAAGAGTAGACTTATAGCCCAGCTATTTCCTCAGTTACAAAGGAACAGATACACCCTTTCAGTGCTGCATTGGATGAATTGCTCCAGCACTCAAAGAGTGAATTTCCAGTGTGATAACAGATTTTGGATTCCTGATGGCCCTTCCAGCCTGTTATACTGTTTACAATATATGAACACAGACAGATTAATTTTTGCAACATTCTAGACTCTGTATCCACTCCTACTTTACCCTGAGCTCAATCATGATTGTAGCTAGTAGGCCACAAGTTGGAACGCAATCAGTCCAGTTGGATAGTTACTAAGTAACCTGTAGCCCCACCCCTTTTCTGGGCCTTGCACACATGGCCACCACACTCAGAGATACATTACTCTCTAATGCAGGGCAAGCTGTCTCATGGCTAGGTGAGTACACAATTAATGTCAATTATTTTGAGGGATTGGGGGTATATATTTCTTTGTGTCTGCACTTGTAAGTTATGTTTTGTCCTGATGAAAGCTCCATGTGGGAACTCAAACGTTGACTTTTTAAATGGATTGAATAAAAGCTAAATTTTATTTGAAAATCTCTATAAAGTCCTTGGAGTGCGGTCATTTCTGCTATGTCTACATGATCCTTGCCAGACCAGCACCGGGCACCACAGGATTACACCAGGAGTGCAAGCCCTCGCTATTTATATATATATATATATATATACATACATAAAAGATTACATTAGTATACACGTAGAATTTAAATACCTATAAATGCATATAAATGTAAAATTCTACATGTATATTTAAGTAATCTTTTAACATAATTATGTGATTTGATTAATTAAAATTTGATTGACATGCCTGACAACACAGGGAGAAAGTGCAGAGAATTGAATTCGCAGGCACTATATTTGACCCTGTAACTCTCCAAGACTCCATAAAACCTGTACATAGGGGGTACTGTTTTACTCAGGAAACTTCGCTGAACTCAAATATTAGTGTTTCAAACTGGTAAATTGTATTACAACGATGATATTTTAAGTAAAAGTGAAGTTTTTTGCATTTTTTACAAACAAACGGCACTTTTATGGACTATATTATTGTGGTAATATGTTTTACTGTTTTCAAACACTTATTTTTGTGTTCAGTGAAGTCTCCCAAGTATGACAGTATCCCCCATGTACAGGTTTTATGGTGTTTTGGAAAGTTAGAGAGTCACATATAAGGCTTGCATTTCATTTTTTTGACATTGAAATTTGCCAGATTGGTTATGTTGCCTTTGAGAGCGTATGGTAGCCCATGAATGAGAATTACTCCCATGATGGCATACCATTTGCAAAAGTAGACAACCCAAGGTATTGCAAGTGGGGTATGTTCAGTCTTTCTTAGTAGCCACTTAGTCACAAACACTGGGCTACCACACCGTCTCAAAGGTAACATTACTAATCTGGCAAATTTCAATTTGAAAATGGAACGTTCTATATTTGACCCTGTAACTTTCCAAAACACCATAAAACCTGTTAATGGGGGGTACTGATGTACTTGTGAGACATCACTGATTACAAATATGTGCATTTTTTGCAGTAAAATCTAACAGTATTATGACATTCCCAGCTAAAATGTCAGACAGAAATACAAATTTAAAAAACAATCTTATTTTCTAAATTTTTTTAAAATTGTATTCATAATAAATTATGTTCTATATGTGAAAAGTTAATGATGAATTAAAGCCCTGTTTCTCCTGAACAAAATGATATATAGTAAGTGTGGGTGCACTTAATGTGACAGCGGTGAATTACGGTTGAACAGACATATAGCGCAAATTCTAGTTTTTGTTTACGTTTTGTTTTGATCAGAACGTGCACTATTGACTCCGACCTGAAGGGGTTAAAATCTATCAATTATTAAATTAAAAACTAAATCAGTTGTTACAATTGTATTTATTTAATAGTAAGCACTGTATGAATTAAATCACATACTTAAATAGTTTAAGAAGAAAAAAACTCACAGGCACTCCAACTTCAAGCCGCAGGCAGATTTATTATGACAGAATGCAACGCAACGTTTCGACCGGAAAGGTCTTTTTCCGGTCGAAACGTTGCGTTGCATTCTGTCATAATAAATCTGCCTGCGGCTTGAAGTTGGAGTGCCTGTGAGTTTTTTCTTCTTGGATTATTGTACTGGGATTGCTGGTCCTGCTCTGGAGCACCCTTGGCCGTTGGGATTGGGTGCGGTTCTCATCACTTACTCTGCTCAATACTTAAATAGTTTGACACAATGAATCACATTATACAAATGATTGAAGCATATTCCAAGCTTAAACATTATATTTTAATTTGAGATTACAGAAAACAAAACATTTCTGAGAGTTTTAACTTTTCTGTTTATAACAACAAATTACATTCACTTTTTACTAGTAAGAGTCATTTTCTACAATGCTCAATTTACTATGGATATTCTCCTCTATTGACAAAACTCTCACAATATTCAGTAATCAAGCTTTTAGATTTTATTTAACTCTTTCAGTATGCATCCAGATAAGAACTCGATGATAGCTATTGTTATATTTATTATCAGCAGACTTACTGTAATGGAATCCATTATAGTTTGCGACCGACAATGGATTAAGATAAAATAACAGAAACAATGTGTTAATGAATAACTTCAAAGACAAATTATCGATTCTTAATTTTTACATAAATAAAACAAACTGTATATCATTGTATATCAGTCATTTGTAATAATCACTGATAAATTTGTCAATTTCCACTAATTGCTGACAGCCTCCACGTAACACCAAACCAGTGACTAACTTCCCGGCCAGGGGAGTCGATACGCTGGATATTTGATGGGATTTGATGTGAAGGTTACACAAAGAACACTGAGGAGAGAGAATATCATACATTATAGCAATTATTGTCTACAAATCACTGAATAAATAATACTACAATTTAGAGAGAATCTTACCAGGACAGACAAATAAACAGACAGCAGTTGGTTTTATAGGACAGGAATGTTTCTAGTTGTTGTTGTCAGCGAAGCAGAAATCCATGCAAACTCAAATCTGCTCAGCGTGTTTCATTTGTTTAATCTGAGCAGATTAATTTGGGTAAGCAGGGATCTGTCCGCAGGTTTATAAACAGCTTACTAACAAAACTGCCGGTGATTATTTAAACTATTAACCCCGTACTTTTTAGCTTTGGACTACAGCAATCATGACAAACTTTACAATTGCCATGTTTGTCCTGTAGTTCACGTGTTTGCGTTTTCATTTTATTTTGATACCATAACGCACAGTAAGTCTTAGTTATTGCGTTTTACAAATATCGTGTAGATAACTGTTAGTGACTGAGGATTTATTTGTTTGTTTTGCTAAGTGTTTGTTCCATATTCACAATAAATGTGACCAAACATACTGTATACCATTTCTTAAAACGAGGCTTGTTTTCTGAGACTCTGTGAATATATTACACAATAATAAATAGGTTTGGTATTTCTGTTTTACTTAGCTTTTGTCACATACAAACCTCACATGGAAATATGATTTGAGACAAGGTTACTGCTGGAAAATACATTCTTACAACCCTGCTTTACTCATCAAAAGGAATCAAAACTATTTGTTTTTTTATCAAACTGCTGACAGAGGACAGTGGACATTTACACAGAGAAGTGCAAGTTTCAGTATTTTTTTCTTACATTGAATTTTTAGAAACATTTAAAAAATATATATTTTATTTTTATGCAGTTTTTTAGTTTTATATGTAGTTTTTTTAAAAACAAAAACAAAACAATATTAACAGGAATTAAAAACATTGCTATCAAGAATGGCCTTGTATATATATATATACAAGGATCAATAAATTATATTTGTAACCTTATTGGTTGGTTGTTATCTTTATACAAAAAGTTCAATATATTTTGTAGGTGGTTGTTCACATACTTATTGACAAAGGGTATCCCTATTTTAGGAAAAGCGCAGTCCCCTTTTTTTCTGTATATTTTTTTGGAAACTTGTTTCAGTCCGATTTAATCTGAATACCTGCTGTTTGGGTCATTAGCAATTGGATAAGCCTGAAAATGCTTGTTTTGAATCATGATTTGGAGTGCCATTGTGCTGAAACGCATTTTCCACCCTGGACCAGGTGAATGTGCTTACAGAAGATGTGCTGCATATTGGTGAAAGAATGTGCATAATAGCTGTGAATACATAAGGTTGGATGTAAGGATCATTTTAAACAATACACTGCATCAGAGAATTCTTCTATATATTTAGGTATTTTTATAACTTAAAGTGACATTGTCATGCCGAACTTACCTTTCCCCAATCAATTCCTCTTCTCTCCCTCTCTCGGGATCTGTTATTCATTTCTTCATGTCTGCTCTAGTTTTCTTTAAAAATTAAGACAAAGTAGGGACTATTTCTCTTCTGGAGGTTTCTTACGCCATGACCAGCTATGATCAGCGGAGGAGCAAAGTGTGCTTCGTTTCCGGTGGTCAGAGAAATTTTCCCATAATCTTTAGCTTTCCTCCCTGTTCCCGCGATGCTTCCTGAGGGTATTGCCAAACGTCCTGTCACAGAACACCGGCAAAACTGTCGAATTGCATCCTAACAGAATGAGAACAGTTTCTCCATTCGTGTTAGGACGCAATTCGGGACTTTGTTCAGATTGCAGTTTCATTCGAATGAATGAAACTCTGATCCTATTGGTGCTGTGGCTGCATCTTGCAGCCGCTTAGTAGATAACTCCCTACCTACCTATCTACCAAAAGGCTGAACAACCTAAATTGATCTTTCAGCCACATTTACGAATACTTAGTAAAGATTACTTAGTATTAGTAAATTCTACCCCTACTAGCTATACTGCGAGTAGGGACATGTCTAGTAAACACCCTGCGCGGTGGGTGGGGGCCCTAAATAACAATAAGTGAGGCAACTATTGTCCTCCCCCCTGTCCCCCACCCCTGAGCGGTGGGTGGGGGCCATAAATAAGAATGTGGGCGGGGACCTACTGTCCCCCACCGGCCCCCAATCCTGAGCGGCGGGTCGGGGCCCTAAATGAAAATTCCCCCCCCTTCCAAGATGACTAGGGGTCCCCAAGTCCCTAGTCACCCCCCACCCAAATAAAAGCTATCCCCTACCTATCCCCCTCACCCTAAAAATTGTGAGGAAGGAATAAAATAACTAACCAGTAAATAAAAATAAAACTTACCATTTTACGCTGTGTAAAATGACACAGAGCACTCTGATTGGATGGATTTCAAGCCCACCAATCAGAGTGATATGAATCAAATTACACAGCATGGGAAAATTCCAAATAACTTTCCCATGCTGTGTAAAATGACTTTGGCTTAAACCAATCAGAGTGTTCTGAGCCTAATTGCCGGCAGGGGAAAGGCTTTATAAGCCTTCCCTGCCCTACAGAGCTCAGTCTGCACGGAGCCTTCCATGGGTGAAGATGGATTATTTTCTTTTAACGTCTGTTTTTTTCTTTTTCGTCAGGTTTATTTTTTATTTTATTTTAAGTTTGACGGGCCTTTTTTGGGGCTAAAAAATGAAGATTTTAGAAGAAAGAAGACATCAAATGGTAAGTTTTATTTTTATTTACAGGTTAGTTATTTTATTCCCCCCTCAGTATTTTTAGGGTGAGGGGGGTAGGTAGGGGACAGCTTTTATTTGGATGGGGTGGTGACTAGGGGCTTGGGGATCCCTAGTCAACTTGGAAGGGGAGGTTTCATTTAGAGCACCCACCCGTCGCTCAGGGATGGGGGCCAGGGGGAGGACAGTAGGTCCCCTCCCATATTCTTATTTATGGCCCCCACCCACCACTCAGGGGTGGGGGCCGGAAGGGAGGACAGTAGGCACCCCCCTCATTGTTATGTAGGGCCCCCACCCGCCGCTCAGGGGTGGGGGCCAGAGGGGAGGACAATAGGTCCCCCCCCTTATTTTACTATAGGGCCCCCATCTGCTGTTTACTAGACATACCCCTACTCGCAGTATAGCGAGTAGGGGCATAATTTACTAATATTAAGTAATCTTTACTTAGTATTAGTAAATGTGGCTGAAAGGCCAATTTAGGTCTTTCAGCCTTTTAGTAGATAGCTCCCTGATACCGTGGGAATTAGGGAGTTATCTTCTAAGCAGCTGCAAGATGCAGCCACAGCACGAATAGGATCGGAGTTTCATTCATTCGAATGAAATTGCGATCCCAACCAAGTCCCAAATTGCATTCTAACACAAATGGAGAAACTGTTCTCATTCTTTTAGGATGCAATTCATCAGTTTTGCCGGCGTTCTGTCTAAGTGACAGGACATTCAGCAATACTGACAGGAAGCATCGCGGGAACAGGGAGGAAAGCTAAGGATTATGGGAAAATTGCTCTGACCACCGGAAACGAAGCACACTTTGCTCCTCCGCTGGTCATGGCATAGGAAACCTCCGGAAGAGAAATAGTCCCTACTTTGTCTTAATTTTTAAAGAAAACTCGAGCAGACAGGAAGAAATTAATAACAGATCCCGAGAGAGGGAGAGAAGAAGAATCGATTGGGGAAAGGTAAGTTCGGCATGACAATGTCACTTTAAAATGTATCTTTTATTTTTTACTAATTTCTATTTTTTGTACTTTAACTCATCAATTTTTATTTATTTTTTTACACTTTTACTCATAAATTTATTATCGAATTATTGTATTATGTATGAGAGAGTCAACACATGACACTTCTAATTTTTTGTATTTTTAATTATAGGTTAATAGGTTCCCTCTTCCTCTCTACCCACCTAATTTACTACATTTAAGCAGTAAACTGTCTCCTTATTTTTTTTTCTACTTTTGCTCCACTTAACTCTTATTTTTGTATCTAATGTGCTTACAGCTCTGGACACCCTTTCCATCAGCAGATTATATCCCTATCCCCAAACACCAGATGACACATGGTGAAGGTTAAAACACCAACTCCTTTTCAAGACATATCACACACTTTTTAAGCCCCCAACAGCCTCATTTACATACAATGCTGCATAAATTACTATAGTATAAGGAAGGATGGGGTCAGACAATAGCAAGGGCTGATGGGAGATTGAGGAGGGACAAAGCAGCTAGTTTAAACTGGTCTGACAGTGTCCCTTCGGACAACGCCCTGCTAGGGAAACAATAGGACAGGAAAAAGGGTGGGGGGAGAGGCACAGACAAGCAATACTTTCGACATACCCTGCACCAATAATGGGCACAGGGTGACCAAAATACAAAAGGAATCTGGGGACCGACACATAGTTGGTTTGGTAAACAAATGGGGGGTGTATGGACAGCTGAACAAATTGGAATAAAAGTGTAGCTAGAGCATCCATTCTGCTACACCCACTTCTCTGTTAGGAAATCTGTCCTTTAAGATAAGAGTGATAAGAACATGGTCAAACCATGTAATGAGGCCAATGTGTGCCGATTGGAGTTTGGGCATGAGTGATGTATGAGTTAGAAATCTGTTGATTCTAGAATATAGATTGTGGATGTGTGAGTGAAAAGTAAAGTCTTTTTTGGATGGATATAACACCCACCATACATCTAAGAAACCAGACTGGAGAATGTTCTTACAAATAGCTGTGGATGTGATTTTGTGTCTCTGGTATCTGTTTTGCGCAACTCACTGTTGTAGGACAATCTGAAGTCAGTGCAAGTCTAAAACTATCCGACCTGGTCAAACACAATGACTACTACATTCTCTCATTATAAACTTTAAAAACTAATCAGTCTATCCTTCTATAATCTCTCGTTTCCCTACAGACAACAACTGGTGCCCTGTTAAAATACTAGACTAATTTCTACCCACATGCAGCAGCCACCCACCTAACTCTCCTCTACTGCTTCTTCACAGACATCCACTTACCACCTCGAAGTTTATATTTTACGTTAGAACCTTACTGCTAAGATTGGGTCATGTGACGAGAGCAATCTCGCCACATTGCATTGGAGAAGCCTGGTTGCTCACCTGTTACCTTTGGATTATGGCCCCATGTTAAAAGACTTCTTTTCCCCTGCAGAAAAGGCTTATTCGTGCCTTTCTGCCCGGCGGTCGGTAGATTCAATCTACCGAACTGGCGCACCAATGACTGGACCACCTGGGAGCTGGAGTGTGTCGTCAATTAACCTCCCAGAAGCTGCGGTTAACCGCAGCTTAATTGACGAATGCTGGGTGGCCTTTGTTCGGTTGCCGAACACGTGGCGGCGGCCATTTTAAAGTCCCGAACGGCCAGCGGAGTTCAGCGCCCAAACTGTGGAACTGTAAACGGACACTTATTTGCATGAAAACCGCTGAGCCGTGAGCCTCCTTGCTTCTGCATTCGGTCAGTTAAGTGAATGCCTGTTCATTCAGGAGTTGAAACCGTATGAACAGCATTACCCCAGATAGCCATCCCGTGGAGTCTGTTCGTATGGAGAACAGACTTTAGGAACACTTTAACTCCACGGAGATTGGACTGTGTGCATAGGATCTGAGCGCTATTCGGTACTTTTGTGCGCTCAGATCCCAGCTATCTGGGGATGGGTTGCAAGTATATATTTTGTGTGTTAAATGTAATATGGTGTATTTTATTGTGTTTTAGTGTTTTACTGTAACCATGTGGTTAATGGAGTTTTACCTCTGCCCTGGGATATAATTGGATTACTTCCCAATTATCTCCAGGACAGCGGGAGGGAAGTTAGGATGCATTGTGGGGATGTTTTACCTCTGTGTGTCTGTCATTGGTTCATGTCTGTCCTTCGTCACAGTCTCCCATTTGGTCCCCTAGGGGAGTGTCCACCAGGTGGGAGACCTGCATAAATACTGGGCAGGTAGCCCTCATTAAACCAGACCACTGCTTGACCCTCAACACGGAGCTCTGTCTCGTCTTTGGGGGGATTTACTGTATCCTGTTAGAGACTGATTGCCAGGAGTGTAAGCCGCTTGGGTGCTTTTCCTGTTCGTCTGCTAGAAGCTATTCGTGAGGTTCCAGTTCGGGAGTTTGGAGTGCTACTTTGTATGCAGTTCGGGAGTTTGGAACATTCCCTTGTATGCAGTTCGGGAGTTTGAAGCATTCCCTTGTATGCAGTTCGGGAGTTTGGAGCATTCCCGCATTCCCTTGTATGCAGTTCGGGAGTTTGGTGTTCTGCAGTAGCTGTGCCTGTATCTCTGGTAGGGGAAGATCTTCTAAACGGCGGTTTAACCCTTTTATGCTGAGGGTGCCGTTACAGGTCATAACCCCTCTTCCTTTTCCGGACATTCCTTCAGGATAAGGACAGCCTCCTCAGCCTCTAGTATGAACACACCAGTCCATATTATTAAAATATTGGGTAGATGGAAATCCTCTGTCTACAATATTTACATTCCACAACCTGAGAAAGAGCTCAGGAAAACATTTAAATGTTTAGCTTTATAAATATGCAATAAAGTGTGTTTTTATCATTGATACATTTTGCCCTCTTTTATTACAGGCCTAACTGTACATTGGTTTTGGCACAACACAACTTTCACCCCCTGCACTATACTATTAAGTTACGACCACAAGTATAAGGTCATAGGCGTACATTTGTGGGAGGAGTTTTCCCTATATAAACGCAATCCTCCTACTAACCTATGCCATTTCTGTTCAAGTGATCCCACCCACCAACACCTTAACTGCCTTATTATTACATTATCATTAGTAATAATAATAATAATAATTTTATTACAGGCCTATCCATACAAAGAAAAAAAAAAAAGAGAAATAGCAACTAGGTACATTCTAGTGATATCCCAGGAGTGATGTAAGAGAATATAAGTAATAAGAGGCAATAAATATTACATATAAAAATTGTATTGGTTATGGGCAATGATAAATGTTCTATTATTGTGTTTCCATTCATGTGCAATAACTTATGATACCTATAGGGGGTGTAGTGAGCTATGTGACATTAAGAGCAAGAAGATGGCTGCTGCATATTTAATGAGACATGTGCTTTAGGGAGGAAGTGACATATAGGTGGCCTAGTGAGCACTGTGACGTCGAGTGAATAAAGATGGCTGCCGCATAGTCAATGAGACATGTGCTTTAGGAAGGTATTGAGAATTCTTAAGTCACTTCCTTTCACAAAGGACCACATGTAGTATCCGCCTCCTAGAGATGACCATTAGGTATTGGTTATGATACCTCTGTGGGTGGATACTAGATGGGAGGTTATTCCAGGGGTTACCAGAAACTAGAGAGCAGTTTCATGACTGGGTTGGAAGAAGCCAGGTGTCTTTAGAGGTGCCCATGTAAATCCATTTAACATGTGGCAAGGAACTCACCTCATTGTTCTGTGTGTTATGCTGATTCAATTATCCTGTGTAAGCTGCTGAATCTCCATGAATAGAGCTAAGTAGATTTCTTACCTGAATGTATTGTTTATAGCAGTGTGTGTTTTTAAATTATTTGTTTTTTTGTGTGCTTGATAATTGTATTCCCAGTAAAGTTTTGTTTATACTTTCATCAAAACTTTGCCTCTTGTCTGTTCATTCAAGATATTCACTAATATTTATGTGATTGACCAGTATACCTTTTATTATTTTATTTGTGGTATTATTTCATATTTATGAAATTCAGAACTTCATAAATATAAAGAAATTACTTAATTTACCATTACAACTGACGCTGTGAACAGGATAATCACTAAATATAGAATATTTGAATGTGTATATAGATTGAATAAGCCTATAGCACAGTCACGTTGCACAGTGAAAAGAGATATAGTTAACAAGCATTGTCTTTGATTGGTATATTTGCATTTTTGTGTTCCCCCTGAGAATAAAGATGCTTACTCTGTTTAAAAAAAGTAATAGAGCAGGAGGGAAGGAGGTGTCTAAGTATGGGACAATTCCATTGTGGGCCAGTTTAGAAAACTGGAAACCCATTGCTGAGGAGCTGATCAAGTATGCAGCTCCTGTCTATCCTGATGCTGGTACTGAACTTGGTGCTCAAGCATTACGGTTAGACCTGGGAGTATACTCCATAAAAGTGCGGAAAGCCGCTGCCACCACAGGGTGGATAGTTGTACAGGCCCTTAGCCGCGAGGTGCAGAGAAATAAAGCGCTCGAGAAAGAGTTGCAGGATGTAAAAGATTTATTAGTTATGACTAAAGAATGTATGCGTAGTAATGCATGCCAGGTGGCTGCCCTAGAAGAAAAATGTACTACTTTAGTGGTAAGCAAGATTAACCGCTGGAGGTCACAGAAAGGAAAAAAGCCAGTGCCTGTAAGTAAAGTGCGAGCAATGGTTGCAAACCCCATATGGGATCCTGAAGCACCGCTACAGTCATCTGATGATGAGTATGTATCCTTTTCTGATGATGATAATGATGTGGACAGGCGACAAGCCCGTCCTATCATTACACAGCAGCGGAAAAGGAGACTACAAGATAGAGCGCGTGGTTTGAGAAATGGTGTACATGAAGAGATGAATGAAGTGGTAAAAAGTTACACACAAACAGAGCTCATGGAGCTGGCAAAGGTGTATAAGCATGAAGTTGGTGAAAATGTGGGAGAATGGTTATTGCGCATGTGGGATGGAGGAGCTGACAGTGTGCAGTTGAATGCAAGGGAAGCATTATGTATGGGGCAGCTGACGCTGCATCCACAGCTCATGCAGGTATTACGGAGGGTGAGGGAGATTGGAGGTAATTTTTCATTATTTGATATGGTGCGGCATGCCATAATTGTGGCCTTCCCATCTAGCAATGACATTGAGCCCATTTCACCCTGGTCAAAACCGAGGGATGCTATTACCCGCATTAGAGTTATGGGTTGTGTGGTGGGATTAAACAAGGATAACTGGGAAGGTCCAGACATGGAGGAATTCACAGCCAGCATGCGGTCTCGGTTTTTAAAAAGTGCACCCCAGGAAATGAAGGCATCTTTATTGTCTTTGCTGGGCAGTTTGGGGAATAATGTAAAGGTACATCAGCTCACCACTTATTTAGCTGAAATTGGAGAATTAGAGTCAGAATCTAACCCTAGGAAAGGTGTGTTTGCCGCTAACAGGACGAGGGAGGAGATGGTGGAACCAATAGAGGGAGAAAAGCAGGGAAAGTTTAGGAATAAAACAAGGCTGAGAGTTAATCGTTTTCAAATGTGGAATGATTTGATTGAGGCTGGTGTACCTAGAGAACAAATTAATGGAATTTCAACACCTGCCATGTTTGAAAAATGGTTAAAACTAAAAAAAGGGTCTAATAAAAAGGTACAGGTACATTTGGCATTCAAGGATCAGCCATGCCCTCTGCCCCATTTGTCCCAAAGTCTCCTCCCCCTAGTTATTTAAAAAACACTCCTCTCATGCCTACAGACACAGCTCCTCTGTCCATACCTCTATTCCAACATTGTGCTCCTTATGCTGTGCCCCCACCCTCACTTCAAGCCCAAGATAACACCCCCCCCACATTCATACCCACATATGTCCTCACTGTTTCCAACAGAATATTGTGCTAGGACTTACTCTCATTCTACATCTAGTGAGAAACAAGCACTGCCAGAGAGTGATGTTAAAGTCAGACCCTTGTATCCTGTAAAAGATCTGATGACACATGATTTGATGGATTGGGACAGTGCTGTTGTATAATGACAGAATGGTGGGCCTCTGGCGGTACATGTGTCCCCTTTAACCGCCGGGTACCAACGCCCTTATGTACCTTTGACTGTGTGGTGGGGGACAAGACCAGGACCAACAAAGATTTTAGCTTTAGTTGACACTGGAGCAGAAGTCACAGTACTGCATGGTAATCCATCAAGGCTATCAGGACCCTGTGTGAGAATAGAAGGTTTAGGAGGTAGAATTACCAAAGCAGTACAAACTGTTGTGGATATGTCAATTAACAGTGGACCAAGATTTAGTGCTAAAGTTTTGATTTCAGAATTGCCAGACAATATCTTGGGAATAGATGTGATACTAGGGCAGAGTATTGAGACACAGTGAGGGGTGTTCACGTTTGGATTCCCTCATAAGCCATACTATCTCAGACCAGTAAAAGACATTGTGCGAGGGAATGCAAATTGGACACCTGTCATTGTTCCTCCTCCGTGCAACCCGGTAAGACTGAAGCAATACCGTTTGCCCGGAGGATGTCAAGAAATTAGTGAAACTATCGACAAGCTTTTACAGTCAGGTGTAATTCGTCCAGCTGTCAGTCCGTTCAATGCTCCAGTATTCCCTGTAAAGAAGATGGATGGCTCATGGCGAATGATGGTGGATTACCGGGGACTCAACAAGGTAGCACAACCATTGAGTGCTGCTGTCCCTGATATTATCACCATTGTGGGAAACATTGCCAAACAGGCCGGGGAGTGGCATGCGGTAATAGATTTAGCTAATGCGTTCTTTTCAATTCCTATTGCACCTGAGTCGCAAGATCAATTTGCTTTCACTTGGAAAGGACGCCAATATACCTTCCAAGTTGTGCCCCAGGGATATATACACTCACCTACGATTTGCCATGGACTAGTTGCACGGGATTTAAGCCACCTCACTCTACATCTTCCAGTGTTTCACTACATTGATGACATCATGATCTCGGGATCTAAAGAGGAAGTGAAAGAAGCATTACCTGTTCTAGTGAATTACATGACTGGACGGGGATGGGCAATAAATAAAGACAAAATTCAAGGTCCAACCCAAGAAGTTAAATTCCTAGGAATTATGTGGTCTGGGCCTGTTCGGAAGATACCTCAGCCTGTGCTGGATACAATCCAGAATTCTCCAGAACTTAAGACGTTAACAGAAGCCCAAAAGTTTTTAGGTGCAGTTGGTTACTGGAGAGCATTTATACCGCATCTAGGATTGCTGCTACGCCCCATATACAATGTTACAAGAAAGAAATCAGCATTTGTATGGGGAATTGATCAAGCTACAGCATTCCAAGCAGCAAAGGAAGCAGTATTACAGCATCAGGGCTTGGGCCCGATTCAAATTGTAGCTCTGTTCATATTGGATGTGATGGTGAACGACAACGTAGCATCATGCGGACTATGGCAACCGAGCGAAGACAAAGGCAAGTGGGCAGTACCAATTGGGTTTTGGTCCAAGCAATTGACTGGGGCTCAGCAAAGGTACACCTTTGGAGAAGAATCTTCTGGCAGCATACCTCGCACTGCAGCATGTGGAGACAATGACTGAGAAAAGCATAGTATCAGTGAAAACAGATTTACCAATAGCAGGATGGGTACGAGATGAAGGATTATCTGCAAAGACATGAGTGGCACAAAGTCAGACATTATTAAAATGGAAGTGGTACCTGCAGGAAAGAGGAGGGATCCAAGCAGGTGAAGTGAAGGAACTGACCAAACTCCTTACTGGGTTAGTGACATATGATTCACTTTCACATACCAATGTACAAGAAGTCCCAATTTTACAGCCCTCACCCATCAAGACAGCTCCTTCATTCAGAGAACTGGGTGAAGAACAAAAGAAAAACGCATGGTTCACAGATGGGTCTGCAATCATGACCCACAAAGGACGACATTGGACTGCAGTAGCTTACAACCCTCAGCAACAAATTGTGATTCAAGAGAAGGGAATAGGAGGATCTAGTCAATATGCTGAATTGACTGCCATAGTCATACTGATGGAAGAAACCACAGATCCAGAGCTCTACATCTATACAGATAGCTGGGCTGTGTACAAGGCTTGTGTTACATGGATGCCTACATGGAGAAACAACAGGTGGCAAATACATGGCAAGACAGTATGGGGAGGGGAAGATTTATGGGAAAATATATGGAAAACAGCCCAATCGAGATTAATACACCTTGGACATGTTAATGCCCATGTGAAAGACAGTACTGTACTAGAGAACACGAATAAGATAGCCGATGAATTGACCCGAATACGAGAAGCAAAAATAACACCAGAACCTGTTGATCCAGTATTACTTAGGATGGCAGACTGGGCCCATGAGACCGCGGGTCATAGAGGAAAAGCAGCTACGCTAGAGTGGGCGCGAGCCAGAGGACTACCAATAACTCTCCAGATGATTGTTCAAGCTCAAGAAGTATGCGAGACCTGCAATGAGGTTAAGAAATGGCTCCTCACGAAGCAAGCCCATGGACATTTAAATAAAGGAACAATAGAAGGACAGATCTGGCAGATGAACTACATTGGTCCCATGCCTAAAGGAAGAGGGGGGCTGATGTATTGTTGTACTGCTGTAGACACCTTTTCCGGAATTCTGAAAGTATTACCCTGCAAACATGTGAACCAGGCCTCAACACTTCAGATGCTACAGACTCTTGTGATTGCTTATGGACTGCCATCTGAGATTCAGACAGACAATGGAACCCACTTCACTGGACAGCTCGTACAGCAGTGGGCAAATGACTCAGGGATTAAGTGGATCTTCCACATCCCCTATCATCCTCAAGCTTCGGGGTTGATTGAAAGGTGCAATGGGCTTTTAAAAGAACAGATTCGGAAGCTATCCCCAAGTAGGACATTGAGGGGTTGGGACCGGGTGATCACTCAGGCAGTTATGATACTAAATAGTAGACCAATAGGACAGTTTTCACCTTATGAAAGATTGACTGGACAGGTAGGGACACCAACTGTGTCAGCTTGATTAAGGTTCAAGGGATCTTTTCCCCAACAGGTGGGGAAGAACAAATTTAAAGTGGTCAGCCAGAACCTAGTTGAGATTGTACAGGGTGATGAATGGATGACATACATCCTTCCCATGGGTGGGATATTACCAGAAGGGACTGAAGTGACCTTTGCCCTAACAGAGGAGCTAAGAGATGATAAATGGTGGACCACAGGGATGGTAAATGTGTTATCAGATTTGTGGGAAATCCCATTGACCAGGGGGTGTCCAGGACAGATTTTCTCACACACTGTATTAGGCGTGGTATCCATTTGGATCCCATGGAAAGTATTAGTGACATGGGAGGAAAGCAATACCTTACAGACAGGTTCCAAAGTATGGGTGCTACCACGAGCAGGTGAGCAGGTCAAACAGAAGGGAGAAATACTGTCCAATGGACCTGGTGACACTAAAGTTGTATTACTAAGTGGAGGCACTCACCCTGTTTTCTTTCCTTCCAACAGATTGGTGGCTATATAGACAAGTCGGATCCCTGGTCCTCCAACTCATACCTGAATCTATTAGCAAGTTATTCGAGAGTGTCAAACAGCACGGATTGCTGGATTTGTGGGACCATATCATTCAGTGAGGAGAGCAGTTACCCATATGTTGGTGTTCCATGGACATTGGAGGAGTTAAAACAATATAATAATACAGGATTCGGCTGGTACCGAGAAGAAGGAAAGCCATAATCATTGGAACAGATTGCATATTATAAACCGCCCCCAGGAAGGTGCTATTTGTATCAGTTCACATAACAACTGAGCCAATGCCACCAAAATGGGATATTCTAACTGTACATCTTCCTGGGTAAAGGGCTATGGTAATGAACAACATTGGGCAATGACTGTCAAAGACTCCAGCCCAGTGGTGAGAGTAATAAGTATGACCTCTCATGGTGCAATAAAAAGACTGAGCTTTCCCTTTATTTCTATACTCCTGGACACTTGTTTTAGTGGGGCCCCAGATAATAGTTACAGTGTCCTTCCCAGAGGTGTGTATTTTCTGTGTGGTAATTGGGCCTATAGATGGTTACCTACTCAATGGGAAGGAGAATGTTACATTGGATCAATCATCCCCGCCATAAGGCATAGAAATAGCTTTCCAGAAGGCATGATTAGAAATAAACGGTGGAGTTCATTTATCGGAGAACATGAAGCTAATTCTGGAATTGTATTTCCCGGCTGGGGAGTATATTGGTCATTAACTCGAATAGAAGCTTTTAAAAAGCTAGTGGATGAAGCTTTAGATGCAACCGTGGATGCTATTAACAAACTATCCCAAGAGCAGGTACAAATGAGAGCAGTGGTGTTGCAAAATAGACTGGCATTAGATTATGTCTTGGCCGCCAAAGGAGGCGTTTGTGCGTTGGTAGGGACAGAGTGCTGCTCATATATTGTCAATAACTCTGGCGCAATAACACATGATATTTCAAAGATAAA